ATGGACGTCATTGGGCCAATCGAGCCAAAAGCCTCAAATGGACACAGATTCATACTAGTTGCCATTGACTACTTTACAAAATGGGTTGAAGCAATCACTCTCAAGTCTGTCACCAGGAAAGCTATGGTAGATTTCGTGCACTATAATCTTATCTGTCATTTTGCCATTCCTGCAACTATTATCACAGACAATGCTGCAAACTTGAATAGTCATTTGATGGGGGAGATATGTGAGCAATTCAAGATAATGCACCGGAACTCTACTCCTTATCGGCCTAAAGGCAATGGTGCCGTTGAAGCAGCAAACAAAAACATCAAAAAGATTTTGAGAAAGATGATTCAAAGTTCCAGGCAGTGGCATGAAAAGTTGTCGTTTGCATTGTTGGGATATCGCACTACTATGCGCACATCAATTGGAGCCACCCCATATCTTTTGGTTTATGGCACGAAAGCCGTAATACCCGCCTAGGTTGAAATCCCCTCTCTCCGAATCATTGATGAAGCCGAAATTGAAGACAGTGAGTGGGTTAAAACCCGTCTGGAACAATTAACCTTGATTGATGAAAAGCGAATGGTTGCGGTCTGTCATGGGCAGTTGTACCAACAAAGAATGGCTCGTGCCTATAACAAGAAAGTGCCGCCTAGAAGTTTTGAAGTGGGGCAACTCGTTTTAAGGCGTATTCTTCCCCATCACTAGGAAGCAAAAGGAAAATTCGCTCCTATTTGGAAGGGCCCATACGTCATCAGAAAGATATTGCCGAGAGGAGCATTGTATCTGGGCGATATCGAAGGAAATGATCCTGAAGCAGTTGTAAATGCAGATGCAGTCAAAAGGTACTATGTTTAGTCTTTCTATAACAATAACAGTGTCCGATTGGGAGGACAAAAGTTTTTATTCTCGCTACCCAAACACTATCTACCCTTTGCAAACCCATTTGTGCCGGTTACTCTTCTTTGATTGCCCTCTTTGGAACTTGAAAGTGTTATTGAAAAAAAAAAGAAATGAAAAAAAAGAAGAAGATGTTTTCCTGAACTACGTTCGACTTGATTCCGAAAGGATACGTAGGCAGCCTCTCTATGGGGTTCAGTCACACCAAAATAAAAATCCAAATTTCCTCAAAAGTGAAACTGGGGCAGATGTTGTAATAGTCCTGCGATAATCCCGCTTGAATGGTTCCAAAGTTGTAATTCGATCCAAATCATTTTTACCCAAATCCTTTCAAGTCCTTCCGATCAATCGGTGAGAATGTTCAAGGATCAGAGAATACAGCTACTTGGATCCGATGCAATAAAAATGAGAGAAATAAAATGAGAGAGTCTTATTGGTGAAAACCCATACGGGCACCATAAGGCAACGGTGAGCAGAAAAATTGAAAATGAGAGAGCCTGGTTAGTGAAAACTCGTAAAGAGTAATATCAGGAGACGGTGAGAAGATAAATGAGAGAGGTCGATTGGCGAAAACCCGCAAAGGGCGCCGTCGATCGAAAAGAAGACACCCTCCACCACTGAAAGAGTCCTGGCCAGGTTTCTCGATTTGGAGATGTGGTTCACAATGAGTTGGATAGTTGTGCATATCGGGTATCCAGTCCAAGAAGCATGTCATGTCTATTGAAGTCTGCATGCACCCCAGATAAGTCCTTTTTTCCCCCAAAAGGGACGCTTCTCCTTAAATTCATTTTTTTTCTTGTCCTTTCTTTACTTTTCCTTGAATCTTTTTCGGTCTAACTCTGTTTCGAAACTAATACAAAGAAAAGGTGGCAAGATTGGTTTTACAGGGTTTTGTTTAATAAAAGCCAAGTCCAAAGAAAAGTACCCAGCCTTAGTGGGTGCATCAAGTCGATCCCAACTGGCCATGATAGCCAATGCTCTGAAATCAGAGTTATTGAAAATGAAAAGAAATCCAAAGTCAAAAGCCCCTAGAAGCAGATTAAAATAAAAGGGCCAAAGCCCTATACGGGTGAGCCGTCATAATAAATTTTGAAAAGTTGAGTTCCTCGGTTTTAGGAGAGAGACCAATCTTTAAGAAAAGCCAGCAAGCGACAGAGGTTCTTGCCAAAAGAGTTGGGCCGAGATCAAGTGATCAAAAACAATGAAGGCCACAAAACCGACCACCGTTTCAAACTAACAATTGTTCTTTGTTTGAAAATTGAAACAGGTGCAATCCAAAGCAACAGTGCAAGAAGCAGGTGTAACCAAAATGGAAAAAGAAATGTGCAAGCGCTAGAAATAGCTTAACAATAATAATCAACCCAAAAGGGAAGTCTCCTCGAAATCCTTTCCTGCATTTTTTTTACTAAAAATGAATTGAAAGAAAATAGATAAGAAGAAAATAAAATAAAAAGGTAGTTTAGAAGCCCCAAAATCAATCTTTTACCTTTTTGCCAACA